TGGAGCAACAAGGAGAACTCTTTCAGGACCGGGTGATTTAAGCAGTCCCTCAAAAGGCTGCTGCATGTTCCCTGTCAGCATCACCTGCAACACTGTTTCAGGCTGCTCTCAGAGCTAGTGCCTTACCAATGTCCATAACCAATGCCTGGGAAGTAGCATTCAGCAGCACACGCTTGGGAAGGGCTTTCTGGGTCACTGAGTTCAGTCTCCTGCTATCACAGAAAACCGTATCATATAATCCCCTTCAGAAATTTATCACACTTCATTTTAGAGCAGACGCTGCCTTGCTCCAGGGGTGAACCAGCTTAGAGGACTCTAAAATACAGAAACCCATCCTCCTTTGGTGATCACCCGCTGCGTGCTCTGCCTAGCAGAGCCCAGGTGAGGAGTCCCTACCCTAATATACCTCGCAGAGAGAGTAACTGTTTCAGCTGTTACATGAAACAAAACCAAACAATAAATCTTCTATTGGGATTTTTCTTTTGCATAAGAAAAATAATAAGTATTTGTGTATACCCTGTAGGAACGCCATGTTTTATACTCTGCCTGCTAGCTCTACAGCAGCAGTTAATTAACAAACAATTCCCAGAGCTGTGTTGACATTAATCATTGTTGCTGGTGCACAAACAAAGATGTTCTGGCATTGAAAAGGTGCGTTAGTAGTTGAAGTTCTTGCTGTTGCTAAACAAAGCAGCAGCATTAATTTAAGTCCAGTTTAAAACTTAAAGAAAGAACTGACATTTCTAAATGGGAATGAGCAAAGCATCATGAAGAAGAGGGCCTGCAAGAAAGAGAACTGTGAGCATAGAAATAAGAATATACAGATGTTACTTTGGTAACAGCAAACAGAGTACTAATGTAAGGCACAGCCATTAGTACCTCTCCTTTGTGGTCTCACTGCTCCTCTGGCAGTGGGATCATCCATGAGCTTGGTGGAAGTGGTGGGTCCTCAGAACAGGGGATGATGTGCACGTGTCCTTTTCTGTCTGTGAGCTCTTTGCAGTACAGAAATGCTTTAAGTCAAATTCTTGCATGTCTTATTGGTTAGAGTGGCAGCAAAGATCTGTGGGCCAAAATCTGACCTATTGTCATTTTGCTTTCCATGTCCTGTGATTTCTATTTGAATAAACTTACAGCACGTAATGCAATTGTGGTATGGCAGGGGAGGGGAAATGAAGCATTAAGCATAAAAATAAAGAAACGGTGTCCTTATCCTTTAAACTTTGTTCTTCAGAGAACAGAATTGCATGGGGTATGTGTGTCTTTGTGAAGCCCTGCAAGAGAGTTGGGAAAGCATTTCTGACCACTTTAGTAGGCACAGGCTTGTAAAGCAGGGCTGGAGCTGAAAAAGGGAAATCAGATCAGAGGGCTAGGAAAATACGTGAATAGGAAAAATGAGGGAAAAAAATATTTCAAAAGACTGTTTTATGATAGCTGAAAGTGAAGATGAGTGTTTAACTGCCATTATTTGAAATTAAACCTATATTTACCCTACAAAATGACTGAAATGGTTTTTAAAGAAAATACGCTCTGTACAGCATGGATCCAGCTTTCTACCATTGAAATTCATTGCACAGTGGAATGATGTATGCACTTACATTAGTTCTGCTCACTAACGGCCTTCTCCTTGGCAGCTGTTCTGTACATTTACGAGTAACCCAGAAATCACAGTAATTATAGATGTGAATGCACATACATTTTCCCCTTCTGAATTACAGCACTGCTTCATAAGGGTATGTCTTCAAAATGGCCCAGCGCTATTTGGTTGATTAATCCTTGCACTGCTCATTGCTGTAGAAGAACGAAGCTTCTGCTTCCTTTCACAGTCCTAGTTTTGTCATCCTGCAGCATCCTGGGTAAGCGCTTGTTCTTGGCATAGAGGGTGAAGTCTTTTGTTCTGTAGATCCCTGATTTCAAGTTGTTCTGATCATATTTACAGGAAGATAACCCAAGACCGCATCACCGCTCACATTCAGGCTTCTGGAAGGATCCCCAGATCCTGGCTGTAGCTGAAAATCTGCTTTGTGACCTATGGGAGGAAAGATAACAGATTGCAGGCAGTGGTATTCATGTTTTAGACTTCCCTGCTGTTTCTCAGCGTGGCTGTGAAGCGGCAAAGTTTACCCAACATGCCTGAACTGCATTTGTGGATGTTTTTCCTGCTCACCATGCACTCCATAAAAGCAGGTTGTGTTTCCCTGTTGGCTGCGCAGCAGCTCAGGAGAGGGCAGTGCGGCTCTAGGGCTGCGGCTGCTCGGGAGCAGTGCAAGGCTGTGCCTTCTCTCCTCCATCCATCACCAGCCTCATGACAATGTCAAACTGTAGCATTTCATAAATGTGAACAAAATACAGTTTAACAATCTGATTTCACCCCAACTCCAAACTGCTTGCAGACATTTTTAGTTGACAAAATGCCTGTTGAATCAAAATTCACTCTGCAGTTTGATTTCATAACTTCTCCCCTCCAGCTGAGGGGCAGGGGTCCCCTCACTGTAAGCAGCCTTCTAAATGATTGTGCTGAATGACAGATGAATTGTATCATGGTGTTGTGCTATGTGATGATGAGGCAATTTATTATACCTGAATACCTGATGCTCAGCATTGGTATTATAATGTTATGTCGTGGGCATATGCAGTTCCTATGCTTTATGCAGTAGCTGACAGTATGAACAAAGTGCCTTCTGAAGGTATTATAAAAGCAGTGTCTACTTGCATGTTGAGTAGGAGGAGGACAAGCTATTATTAAATTATTGTAGTGAAGAAGAACACTTCTTTTCACCCTTAGGCTAATATTAAGGTATTCTCAAGGTCAATTGTAAGAGAATATAGAGAAAGACAAGAAACATAGGTGCTGTCAGTTGTATTTTCTGTTTTCGTTTAGCAGTAGCCTTAAATTTAGAATTATTTATAGCCATGATGTATTGCTTTCTGACCCTGATTTCTCTAGTTTATCCAGCCAGTTACTCTGCTCAAAATGAAGCCACAAGTTCTTCTTTGAATCACTTTCTTTTTGTATATATTGGGCAACAGGAAACACTCCAACTTTACCTGGCTTCCAATTTCCATCAGTTTTTCTGCACTGTGTGTATGCAATCTTTTCAGTCCCTGCAGAATCCTGTACTCTGAGGTTGTGATCACTGCTGCTGGGCTATTTGTCATACAGTGATTTCCAGAGACGTATTTAAAAAAAAATAAAATCTGAATTGATGTTTTAAGTAAACATGTAGTAGCAAAGGAATTTGCGCTTTAAAGGCAGAATTGCACCTCTTGTTGAGGAAGGGAGCAGCTGTGAGCTTCATTACCAGTGGCTCATGGGACACTGGGAGCCAAAGCGGTGGAGCTCATCTCCAAGCATCACTGACAGCAAAGTAACTTTTAAGCATTCTAATGTTAAATGTTGCTTTTATGCGTGAGGCCGTCTCTGCTGCTGGTGGAAAGAAAAATAAAATGCTGGAGAATTCCAATGAGCCTTCTTAAAAGTGAGGAGCCTATTTTTACTCTATTTCAGAATGCCTAAAAAAGAGATAAGTCAGCTATTCTCCTATTCACTGTTCACAAAAGCATTACTTTTTCACCTTTCTTGTGTCCTTGAGTAATTCAGTTAACCATTGTTTGCCTCAGTTTCCCATTTGTGAAGCGTTTAGAGATAAGAATACTTGTCTACTTCCCATGGGTTACAGGGCACAATGTACAGCAATTAGCTACTATGTCAGCCCTGCTGAAGTCAAGGCAGAATCAACTCTGATTCGATACTATCAAGATAATCTACGTGATTAAAGAGTTTTATGTATGTTATTCTTCTGAGAGGCTTCAGAAATGAAAACTCATTGCGCGCTTATAGGATATTTTGGGGTTTTTCTGTCAGCTGATTATTGGTAGGCATCACTAGCTACTTTTATTTTTCTAAAACAAACAGGAGAGTTTGCTGATACGTAGATGATGAGCGCCTGTGTAACTATGAAAGTGTGGAAGTTTGTGAGGAAACCACATGAAATTAATCCTTGAGAAGAAGTTCCACGTACCTTGCCCTGCGCCCTGGGACTTAAGTTTTAGGTGTCGGAAAGATTACAAACCTTCCAGTGAATGGAGAGGAATTTTGGTCAAAGTAAACATGGTGTTCTCTACATTTTTCCTGAATAATTCAATTTTCTTCTGATTTTTTTTCTGCTGTGGATTTCAAATGTTTCACAGTCATTTTGGATGTGAAATTTCAGTCAGGCTAACTCCCTGTCTGTCAGTGTGTTATGGCTGCATGGGGCAGTTCAGGAGGCTGATGTACACCAGCTCTTTGTCTATTTTCTTACCCAGTAAAGCGCTCTGTCATATGCTGAGCTTGAGGTGCAAACTGGAGCTGCATCCACTTTGAAGTGAAGCATGTCTCCATATGCTTTCTTGAAAATAAATGGGTTTTAGCAAAGTAGTGAACACATACTTAATTGGTACTTGTTATTAAGTTCCTCTTTATTTGCATAAAAGTGCTATCAGAATGTATCACTGTGATGCATTTTCCTGTCTCAGCCTTGTAACTCAGTGTTCACCTCTGAGCAGATGATGCTTTGTTGCAAAAGCTTTTTCCTGTGCTCTGTTCTACAGAGCTTCATTCCTACTCACATTTCCATGCCAAACAGCTCAATAAGAACCAACCAGGGAATTTGACAAATGCTGGGAATGATTCTGTTTTCCTTTACTGCCAGTGGAGCACTCATTCTGTGTTCAGGATGTCAAACGACATGTGCAGGCAATAGGTTTGCCTCACTAGCACTTGGTAGGGGGAATGAAAAAACATGCCTGGTCTCTGTGGTTAAAGCAGGCAAGTAGATGTCTCAAATGCTATTTTGCAAAATTTGTTAGAATTTCCTAAAATAGCAATAATAATTTATTTCTGCCTTATTTGCAAGCCTTTCTCCATTCATTTCCTAGCCTAATTTTAAGGCAACATGCTTAATTTTGTGTAGCAAATGGTTATCACAGGTACACTAATCTCACCTCTCTTATTCTAGGGCAGTTTAACGTAGAAGACTTCTGAAATGAATGCCATCAGGAAGAATATTATTTGCTGTTCAAGGCCTGATTTTACAACATAGTATTCATGTAGGTTCAGCAGGATAGCAAGAGAAGTAAGGTATCACTTTAGATCTTCCCATTTCTGGCTTGGATTATAGGCCTAAAAGCTGGAAAAGAGATGATGACTGGTGTTGCATAACGTGATGGGAAAGGGAGTGGGTTTGGAGATCAAGTCTGTCCCTCCTCATCAGCTGTGGCTTCTTGTGAGAACTGCGTCTCCTCCAGGGGGCGGTATAAATGAATGCTGAGTTTCTCATTGGATTGGAAAACATTTTTCTACAGGGTCCCTCCTGAGACAGCCTGCATGCACATTGCCTGTGTAACTGGACTGATTAAACACTTTTGTCTTAAACAATTAAGTGTTGCTATAAGACTAAAACATTCTAAAAATGCTTCATTCATTTTCTTGCTCTCATTCTATCTGTCATCTGGTAAGCTAGACTGGGGAGCTTTTTCATGTACTTGTTTTGATCAGCTATCTGGAAGAAGCCTGTATGTAGTATTGATGTAGAAGTGATATAGTAAGTTGCATAAAGTTTCCCCTATTGCATTTTAGGAAGAAAATAAATATTCCGGAGAGTGGAGGTTATGAGTCCCAGTGAAAAACAACACTTTAGCCTAACTGCAGATACAGGCTGGTAAATATACTGTGTTCTGTAAAGGAAGGAGAACTATAAATGCATATTAGCTGAATCCATGCCAAACAGTATGACTGCACTTGAATTGTCTCAGTGATAGAGAAAGCACTACTTCATGTCAACATAAATTTTTAGATTATTGTCATGGTGGGGAAAAAAAGAAATTGTTTTAAGCCTACTGCTAAGTTATATATCAGAAATACAAAATGCTGATTGTATAAATTTGAAGCCCAGGATAATTTAGAAAGATGAAATGTTCTAGATGTCATGTGGTATCTCTGGCAATTATGTGCATCTTGTTTCTCAGAGAGGTTTATTTAAGTTTATGTTCGTTTCTAGAAATGAGAAAGGGAAAGGTGTTATGTGGAAATTCAACCTGCCAGAGGGATGCTAACAGGATTGCCAGGGCAATTCAACTTCATTATTCTCTACTGAGACAAGTACGGAACAGAGAATTCAGAAAGTTGGTTTATTGTTTCGTTTACATGGAGGACAAGTGATTGTGGATGCACATGGGGGAGGCTTGCCTGTCTGACAGCAAACAAACAAACAAGTGCCTAGGCAGAGCAGCTGAGGTTAGGTGAGCCTCAGGCTTACATCTGGCCTTCAGCAGCAAGCCCTGAAGATAATCTCAGAGCTGTCCTTAGTTTAATTTGGGGCAAGATACCGTGGAAGGGCTTAGGCAGGGCTTGTAATTGCTCAGACCATTAAGGTTGCAGATAGCTGCTGACTGGAGTTCTCCTGCATGACAGTATCTAGGAATTACAGTCTGGGGTGCGATAGCCTTTCATTAACATCAGCACCCAGGATAATGATACAAGTAAAACTATTGTACTTTATTACGTTCTTGCTGTCATTTAATTGCTTGATAATAGCTTTTCATAACAATAGAGGCCTGTGGAAAGTTGGCTGGAGTAATCCCAACTGGTGTATTAACTGTAGTAAAGTTGCCATTAGCTGAGTGGGTTGTTTGGGGAGGTCATTCAGAACAGATGGCTATTATTTAGGGAAAATAGCTGCAGAAGTGCATCTCATGAGAGAGGCTGAAATTCTCATATTTAATATGAGCTATATGAAAATGCACAAAAGGGTTCCCAGGCCTGGACACACAAAGGAAACGCTGTGCTGTTGGAATGCAGTGCAGCCATTGTGTGCAGTAGATGCTGAGAGGTGGAGCCTGGTTCTTGTTTTCTTCTCAATGTGATCATATATTGTCTTCTAATGACCTTAACCAGCAGCTATCTACTTCTGGTTTGTTTCGCAAGCTGGCTTTGCATGCATGGAAACAAGCTTCACAGAGTGTAGGCGGACTACTACTTTTGAATAATAATATTAATCGATATTAATAATACATAATCCTTACATGCAAATGTGTGCTTACATATGCAAACATGGAGGTTCAAACATGGTGATGCAAATGTTAGAACATTGGTGTTTGTTAACTTTTGATGTTAAGGAACTCAAGTGGGATTTTCTTGTTATGAAAGAGCTTGTGTCTCATTTGATCACTCTGGGATGCAGTTTTAAAAAAACTAATTAGTTGTAGCGGAGTGGACTAGGAATTTTATTTGCATGAGCACTGGACAAGCTGTTTTGTAATTTAGTTGTAATTTCTAGTGTGAAGATGGGTACACAGGAGGACAAGTGTAACCATCATTTTGTTACTGGGAGGTGAGGCAGAGAAAAAATAAGAATGTTTTCCAGAGAGACATTTCATACAAATTGAAGCTGTAGCTGCCCGTCTCATTACTGTTCCATTTGTAACTCCCAACTTCCACTTAGAAATTTAGATGAATAAAAGCAAGTCGAAGTCCTGCGAAAGACTGTATTGAGCTACAAATAAATTTCTGAAGATCCCTTTCCTTCCCACCCATGCATATTAGAAATACACACAAGCCCAGCTTCCTAAATCATTCTACAATCCTCCCTGAAGAGGTCCTGTAACCTCCCAAAGAGGGGATGTAGTCTTTCAGATTGCTGCTCACCAGAGGCTGCTTTTGTTTTGGGCAGGGCGGCAGGGCTGCAGGTCCCTTGGGGCAGTTCTTCCATGCTTGTGGAGTGCTGGGATGTTGATGCAGACAACAACTGACTGTAGCATGCTGGTTTTCCTGAGCTCTTGCATTCACTGGTTTGGAGCATTTTGAAATGACTGCCATTTAATTTTAATGTTAGTTTTATTTATTTATTTTTACAAAAGGATCTGGGTCCTTCACATGGGAAACAAAGTTTAGTTTAATCTCACCTGAGGTGTGTCCTTCAAACCTCCAAATGTAACACATTTCTTTCGGGAGCTGGATGCATCAAACTTAAAAGATTCTGTTTCATTGATATATCAGTACCCAGAGGGAGTAGCAATAGGATGATACGTGCATTTCACAATTAGTTGTATAACCCCCAACAATCAGTGTGTTGTTTTACAGTGGTGTATTTCTTCTGGATGAGAAGTGTGGTGCTGTTGAAGAGCAGGCTAGTTGTGGGCTGTCTGTGCTGCATCAGCTGTGGTTAACACAGCCATACATAGGGACTCCTCCAGAAAGCACTGATATTAACGGAGGTCAAATTTGGGATCACAGTTTCTTCTGTGAGAAGGGATAGAAATTCTTAGAGGAGACATTTGGTGAGCACAGAACTCCTCTTTTGGTTGGCCTGGCAGAACTTTCAGGTGCCTCCTGGGGATGCAGGTCTCTCGGAGGGAGGTGAGTTCTGCTTCAAACCACCAGAACTTGGCAGGATTTGGGCAGGATGAGCCCATAAGCTTAGCTTTGTTGCCTGTTTCCAATCCAAAAACCGAACTCAATCTTGTTTGTGGTTTTGTGCATAATACGATGCCTTTAATCAAATTCTGCTCTAATGGTGGAGAATGTTGATATTTAAAAGCTATTTCATATAATTAAAAGTAGAGAAGAATGTATTATTTTACAATTATTCAGACTGTTGTTGATTTTTGGAACCTTTGTCAAGATATGTCAGTAGTAAACATGAATGCTCTCATTTTAACCCAGCAGTAAGGTATCATTACGTTTACAAAACCAGAACTGCACTGAGTGAAGTCTTGCTTTAATTGTACTCCAGAGTTGGCTATTTAACCTTCCTTCCCACATCTTGTCATTTTCTGCATTATGAAGCTCAAGTGAATTGCCTTAGGAAAAAGGAAAAAAGTACTAAAATGACATCAATTTTTTGGAAAAAAAATTAAAAATTAAAAGGTTAACAAAATAGCAGCACAGTGAGAGCTGGATTTGTCAGTTACGCTGACAAATGGTGAATGCTATGTTTGTGGTGTGGTGTGACACTGTGAAAGGTGTGTTTGGTGAACCTAGCACTGGCTACTTTGTTTGCCAGCTTTGTTCAGAGTGATACAGAAGCACTACCTGGTAACAGGATTTGGATGCTCTACATTTAGATGTAGCTTAATATATTCTGAATCAGGAATTTCTGTTGTTTTGCTGTAGTGTTTTCAGTCTTTGGACGTCAGAGTTGTTTATGCACTCTTCTAGCTGGCGTTTTCTTTCTCTGCTGTGGCTTTCTGAGCCAGCTCCAGCTTACCAGTGCAGCTATGGGGCCTTTTAGGAACTTGGGGATTGTGACAAAAGCTGCTTACGTAGCTGGATGGATATTGCAGCAGGCAAGCCACAAAATGGCTCCAGCTTTTAGGCTCCAGCAATACCTGAGCTTTGAGACTGACTTAAAACTGGCTGATGTGTTCAGCCTTGGCTGTGGGTTGCACTAATCCTGCATGACCCAGTGAAAAGAAGATGCAGATTTTTTTTGGGAATGGATGCAAGTTTCTGAAAATTACTCTGCTTGTGTAAGGGGAGCATGAAAGTTTATCCATATCTCGATGTGTTAATTCTAAATATTTGATTATGATACAAGGCCGTTCTTAGGCCTCTTCTATCATTTTTTAAAAAAGCATATTTATGATTAAATAACAGACAAGAAAGCAAATGATGCCCTGCCTGCTTGCCTTTTTCTCCTTGCCATTTCTTATACTTAGTGTAAAGACTAGAAAGCAGCTTTGGAGAATGCTTTTAAGAGCCATCTTTAAATCACATGGAGGTTTCCAGAGCATTTTAAAATCTAAATTAAGTGTGATGGCAACACAACCTGGAAATCGTTTCTTAGAAGTGAAAAGAAACAAAGAGTGAACAGTATGTGTTGTATGCCAGAGGGGAATTGGTATAGGTAAAAATGGATCTGTGATGACTTTAAGTACACAGTGCTTTCATGTGTGCTTGTGAGCAACCAGATGCCCATGAGCAGCAGTCAGTGCAGCCTGACCCAGCAGCACGATGGCACCAGTATGAAATTCTCTGCAGCGGGTCCCCAAATTTATGGTTTGCAGCCACTGCCTACCATGTTTAT